CGGCCGCCGCCGCCTCGTGCCTGGCGTGGTTGCTGCTTTTAGCCCCGGCCGGGGGTGGAGCCGCCGCAGCCGCTTCCCCCGAGGCCTCCCTCAGGAGCGGGCGCGGGACCCGCCCTGCCCCGCCCTGCCCCGCGGCCCGCGCTGCCCGAGGGACTGGTGGCAAATCGGGTGGCCGTCGCAGTGCGCTTGTCGTCTGTCGATGCGAGACCCGGCGCCTTTCTGTCTGCTTTTTCTCCTGAGTCCAGGGTGTGTGTTCTCCTTCCTTCCCTCCTTTCCTACCGTCTCCTGAGTTCAGGCCTCTCCCAGTGGCTGCCCGAGTGGCTGGCCATGGCTGCGGCCCCCACCAGTTCTTCCCCGCGTGTGAGCGGCAGGTGAAGAAGAGCGTGGCCTCTAGTTGGCTTCTCCAACGCTTGCTCCAGGGAGCGGCTTTCTTGAAGAGAAAAACAGAGGGCCTAAAGGCATCGGGTTTCGCGTCAAGAGAGGACGGAGTAGCAGAAAACCGGAGTGTCCTCTAGGATGGCCGCCCTAGTGCCCGAGTCCTCTGGTCCTGTGTGCTGGAGCCAGCGTGTATCTGCCCGCGGCGGTGCAGTTAGGGTGGCCATCCTAGAGGACGTTCCGGTTTTCTGCTACTCTGTCCTTTATCCATACAAAACCCCACGCCTTTATGTCCTCTCTTATTCTCTAAGAGACAAATTGAGGATATAAAGGCATCCGGTTTCATATCAATAGAGGACAGAGGACATCTGGACTCTCCTTTATGATGGCCACCCTAGGTGTGGCCCCTGTGCTGCTCTGCCACGTGAATCGCCAACATACTTACAGGCTGGGAGGTGACTTTTGCAGCAGCACAGCAGCGGAAAGGGATCTTGGAGTCGTAGGAGCAGGTCTAAGGAGGTGATACTTCCCCTGTGTCGTGTAGCCAGGACCCGTAATAATCTTGGTTACTAAGGATCATGGATTGAAGGGAGGGTATGACAGGGATAGATCCCACTAGATCAGGAGTGTCAAACTCATTTGGGGCTCTGCGCCAGATCTGGACTATGGGGCTCTTTGTGAGCTGGACCCAACCCTGGGCAAGAGAGCTGCCACTGTACACCATGGTGGCAGCAGCATGAGGTCCAGCAAGGGCAGTGCAGAGGGTGGCAGGAGTGGGGTCTGGCAGCAAGGAGCCATGCATGCCACCACTGGCCATGCCTACCAGGGCCAAAGAGCCCAAATTCCAGTGTTGTCTGCTAGCTGTGTTAGCCTGATAGGCTCTGCAGGTTGCATGTGGCCTGTGGGCCATATGTTTGACACGTTTGCTCTAAGCAGACCCTGTTCATATTCTGTCTCTCTAAGCAGGGGTGGCCAACCTGCAGCACAAGCAGTTTGGGCAGCCTCTGTGTGTGTGGCACACAAGAGATTTGGGAGTTAACAGCAGCAGATAGGTCAGGAAGCTTAGAGCAAAGGAGCAACTTGGGCAGGGAGCAGGGAGGAAGAAGAAAGGACTGCAAGTCAGGCAGGGAACAGAAAGCAGAACAGCAGATTGGGCAGGGGAAGGGGATTGGCTCAGCTGGGGCCCAGTGGGTGCACGGCTAATTTGTGGTGCATCTCCCAAAAACGATGGCCTCCACTGCTCTGAAGCATCTGCTCCTGCCATTGTTGAAGATGGACTAATGGGCTAGATCAGTGGTTTTCAACCTGTGGTCTACAGACTCCTGGAGGTCCACAGCGTATGTCTAAGGGGTCTGCAAAAGATGACTGTGATCAATAAAATGTATGTGAATGCCCACACTTACAATTCAGAGAGGTCCACACCTCCATTCAAAAAGTTTTAGGGGTCCGTACGTGAAAAGAGCCTGAAAACCACTGGGCTAGGTAGACCATTGGTCTGACCTAGTATGACACTTCTGATGGTGTTATAGTCCATTTTGGTGTCAGATTCTACAAAACCTTAATTACAAGAGGGGTGCAGCTGAAACCTGTGGGATTTTTCAGGTAAGGGCAACTCATTTTATTTGTAGGCTTGTATTACTAGGTAGTGCCCCAATTAGAAAATAAGGTCCCTTCCACCTTTATGCTGTCAATAGGACCCAGAGTATACCCAAATAAAGGACTGAGGTGCTAGGAACCTGCATACCTTTTGTTATTATGGGATGTAAAAAGTCTGAAAAACAAAATACATGCTCTTGTGTGTGTTTTTGAATAGCCATATATTGCCTGGACAAATAGAACTAGTGCTGGGATAGCTCTCATCCGCTTTCCCATCTAGTACAAGCCATAGATATAAATTCAAATCCTTATTCTATTTGAAATGCATCCCTACCTCAAGCATTTACTTATTAAAGGTCATCATATGCACTAGTTTATTATACCTCTCTTCTTCATAAAAATTCGACAGCCCCTCTGCACTGAGAACCTTATGAAAGGTCATGGTACAGGTTTTCTCAAATGAATCATCTCTACCTGATTAAGCAGCCTCGGATGACTTTTTTTTATGTGTTCACAGAAGATTATTTTTGTTGTTGCTGTTGCCTAAATATTAATCCATCTCTCTAATTCATAGCTGGATTAGCAGAGTCATATCTCTTTAATCATAGGTGCATACACTGAGGATGGACAGCTGCTTTGACATTTTTGGCTGGGTGTCATGTCCTCTACAATATACAGTTGAGTGCCAACAGTCAAGAGACCACATATATGCATTATGTCCATCTGTTAGAATGGCAGAGTGCCCATTTAAAAGTTGGTTGTACCTTTTCTTTGAGCACAGGTTTCAAACAGTAATTTGTTTCCATGAGCAGCATACAGGATGTTAAAATACGATCTTTTCTGCAGAAGTGCACAGCACTGCGGAGGGCTTTTTGTTTGTCAGATGATCACAGCTTGGGCATATTACTTAATTTTTCTCAACTTCTGTTGATTATTTTATTTTTATTATTATTATTTTTAAGGTGTTTAGCTCATTAGGAAATTAGTGCTGACTACTGACTGGGTGCCCTTGAAATTGCATCTGCAAATACAGATACCCTGTTATCAGGTGACACGTCATCTGTATTCCCTTTTTCCAAATCTTTATATTGATGAGCAGGAGAACGTGAATTACAAATATTCAAAAGTGTAAATGGAAAGGAGATGTGATGTTTTAGGTACAATATTTTCAGCTGTTACCATACTTCTTGGTGAAAGATGGCAACTTTTCCAAAGGGGACATTCATAAGAATTGCTTCAGCTACTGACAGGCTACGGACAGGCTTTCATTTCTCAGAAATTTCTGGGGGAGGGATCAGCAAAGGCATTCAGCTTGCAACTACCTGATTTCCTCTGCTCCTTGCATCTCTCCCAGAGCAGGGGGAATAGTAACTACTCCACCCTTCCCGTTTCCAGTGGGAAGTTGACTGGCGGGGAAAGACTCCCTACACTTCCCCAGACCAGGAACACCTGCTACACTACTCCCCTCCGTTTGAGCAAACCTGAAGAGAAAAGGAGTAGTGGGGAAAAGCCCGCCCAGTTCCCCAGACCAGGGAATCCTGTTCTGGGGAGCAGTATCAGCTGCTCTATTTCTCTCCTGGACTGGTCCTGGAAAGGAGTGGATCAGTGGGGAAACTCCCCTACCTGTTCCCCAGACTGGGGAGTCTGCAGTTCTCCAAGTTCATGCCTCCATTCTTGCTGAGTTCAGGGTTTTTTTGGAAGATCACGGGCCTGATTTGTGCAGTTTGTACAGTCATTTTTACCTGCATAGTGGACATGTCTACGTAAGTTGCCCACTGTGCAGTTGTTGCTGTGCAGTCATTTAGTACTTGCATAATCAAGTACTAAATGACTGTGCAGTAGCATCCTGGTGCGGTTACCCAGTGACACTTACTGTGCAGTGACTCATTACTACTATGCACTAGCTCATTACTACTGCAAAGCAGTATCATGTGATGGTTCGTGCCCAGCAATGCTATTGTGCAGTAGTAATGAGCTACTGTGCAGTAAGCGTCTTGTGTAGACACGCCGAGTGTGTATTAAATATACTATTCTGTTTTGCAGATTTTACATTTACAAGGTACAGAAGAGAAGAGAACTGTGCCTTAAAGGGTTTAGAAAGAGGTAGTTAGCTGTGTTCATCTGAAGTCAGGCAAAAGGCAGGGCAGAGTGACACCTTAGAGACTAACTAGTTCAGAGAGGCATACATTTTCATAGGTGACAGCCTGCTTCATCAGATGTTTAGAAGAGGTTCAGAAGAGTAGAAAATTGAGTCTCAAAATGTTTAAGTGCAACTATCTTGCCAAGGTGTCCAAGAAAATGAGAATATGGAGAATGTGTAGACATGCTTTCAATAAGATTACAACTGTGAAGCTAGCAAGGGATCAGTTTATATTATATATGCTTATAACTATTGTGACTGGCTGGCTGGCAGTGACCTAGCCCAGGGGTTTTGAAAGGACTAAAGATGATTGGAGGACTTTCCGCACCAATCAAGCCCCAGCGACTCCCCCCCCACCCCCCGGTGTCCTGATTGGCTCCTTGGGTTACCTGGAGGGGGACTTGGGGGAGAGACTAGCGAGGAACAACAAGGAAGGAGCTTCACAGAGCTGGCAAGAGCTGAGCCAGCGGGGTGGGAGCAGCGCCCCAGAACACCCTGAAAGAGCAGGACCTGCAGGCAGCAGTGGGACCCTCAGCAGCGCGGTGTGTGGCCAGCAGGAGAGGCTCTCTGCTGGGCTCCAGGATTCCCTACGAGACACTATGGCCAGCAGGAGAGGCTCCCCAGCTCCAGCAAGGATTTGAGTAGGGACCTGAGGGGTTCCCAGCTCTGCTTCCAGCTCCTCAAGTCAGAGGCCAGGCAGCTTGGCATGCAGCCAGGGCTCCAGGAAGGTCAAGACCCCTAGCAGGCTGGAGTAGTGCCACCACTGCTGGTTGTGTGGTGATATTTCTGCCTACTATGTGGGAGATATGAGTTCAAGTCCCAGCTGGGTTGACTTGGGGTGAGTGAGTTACC